ATAAATTCAAACAAATAAACACTTAATTACTAGACCTCCTTTAGGAAGACTTCTGATTTCCTTAAAGCTTCTACCAGGGAATATTTTGCGAAACTCAGTGGCGATTTGTGGTTATCTGAGTGTATTAGGCACACCTTCGACAACAATGGCTGGTATACGTGGTCAGTAGCGATTTGTGTTTGTCTGAGTGTATTAGGCACACCTTAGACAACAATGGCTGGTATACGTGGTCAGTAGCGATTTGTGGTTGTCTGAGTGTATTAGACAAACCTTAGACAACAATGGCTGGTATACGTGGTCAGTAGCGATTTGTGGTTGTCTGAGTATATTAGACAAACCTCTACAAAAATGGCTGGTACACGTGGTTTGGAGGATGTGGGTGTAGGTTTTGATTGACTGTCTTTTAAAGTGTCATTGTTGTTTGATGATTGTTTATTTGGTCTAACGTGTTTTACATGTGAAGAGTTTGGGGGTCTCTTTCCTCTCGGTTTCTTATTTTTGACTGTAATGAAACCGTCGTTATCTTCAGAAAAAGAAACAAAAACTAACCGTGGCAGTAATTTAATTTGAAGGAAGAGAAAACGAACCATATGTGCATTTAGTTTTATCTTCTGTTTTAATTATAAGCCGAAAAGTTACAGTTTCGTCGGGAAGCCGTGAAGAAACTCGGAGGGTGCGTCGTGATGTCCAGTGGCGGTTGACCCGAAGAGGTCGATGAAGTAGCGGGAGCAGAGGAACGAACGAACGAGACAGGAAGCTCCATATGCTATGATTATCAATTACTTGGTATTGGATTGGAATATTGTGATAGAGAAAAATTTGTTACTTGGATGGTTTCAAAATTGAGTTTGTTTGTTAAAATTGAGAAATTTTATAGACCCTTTTCAGGGGGCGGGGACCGTGGATCCAATGCCCGGAAGACAATTTAGATGTGGGGGAACCGGAGTGCCCGGAGAAAACCCACTTCCACAGGACAGATGTGGATGTCAGCGTTTATGTTCGATTCAGATGAAGAGTAGCAAGAATCCTTCTCGGAGTCCGAGAGAATCGTGTTTAGAGTAGATCCATCGGAAACAGCGTTGGTTTCAGCCCGGGCGAGAAAGGCTTGAATCTCGGCATGGTCAAGAGCAGGGGTCACCAAACTACGGCCCGCGAGGTCAGTTCATCCGGCCC